AGTATGATTCTTAGACAGATAAATGTACATGTGAAAAAACTGCGCCGACGAAGTGGTCAGTTGCTTGGACATTCGCCACCAAGTTCGGTCATTCATTACAGAACATATTGCTAGAGTGCCGTGTGTAGTACAGGCTATATTAGTAAAAGAAAGTTTGCATTTTTCTTCAAAACACGTTATTTTTAGGAGCTGGATTTTATGCCGATCGACGTATTGCAGTGAGCGCGACGGGCAACGGCGATGAATTCATTCGAATGTCGGCTTCAAAGTATAATTTTTTGCTCATTTCCTTCATAAAAACTTCTATTTTTGCTACAATGGGATTGACTCATGGTACCTAAAATATTTTCGGAACTAGGTCCAGCCTCTTACTCTTTCATTTCCATCGAATATCACTTCATGAAATTACCATATGAAGATATTTCGTCGTTTCTACTTTTAAATTGATACTGCCCATGCCAGTTCATCCGATTCCCAAGTAGCTTGCCCGTAAGCAGTTCAGCGAATCCTCTACCTTATAAATAAATAGCAATGCGCATCGGGCTAGCCGGTGCGATCATGCGTTTTGTGCAGGTCGAACGATTGCCTATTAATGATTTTCACTGCTTTGTAATTTAGTCTATACAAAAGTAGTTGAAGCGTTGAATAGTTAAAAATTTCACGCACCTGCGCATGAAAGCTGAATTTGAAACCTTGAAGGGTGAATGTCTTTCCGTTATTCCAGAGTTAATAGTCTACCTGCCAAAATTTTCACGAGGCCGTATGTGACACCCGAGAGCGCGGGAACGCTGGTTTTGAATAGGCAGGGTTGGGCGTGGGCAGGGCGTCACTACCCTAAAATTTCAGCTTCTTAGAATCCGTGGTTCCCGAGATAATAATTTACTCGTCAAAAATTTTAACGGGGCCGTACATGTTACCCGCGTGCAGGGGGAAGCTGAATTTAAATTTTCTAAGTAGCACATGGGCGGGGGACATGCCCACAAAATTTCAGCCCCCTACCTTCTGTGATTCCTGAGATACTGATTTTACCCGAAAAACTTTTACG